CCCTGCCATCTAGGCAACTGCCAAGCCAGTTGCTCACTGTTTAAAGTCCAAACATCATTCAAGCTAGAAAGTTGTCACACACTCATTACAAAAAGGGTAAAGACTTCCGCTGTGCATCTATTAATCTCTCAAAAGATTATAGATCAATTCATCTAGAGGAAAAACTTCATAAAATTAAAAAGGATTTAAAAGTCTATTCACCCCCCCTCTAGACTTTTACCCTATCCGGGACTATCAATGTCCACGAATCATTACTGGAGGACGCTCCGATGATCGAGATGATTCAAGAAAACAAGGAAATCTCTATGGATTATGAAAATGCACATGTGCTAATGGAAAGATCTTCCATACACATCGATGATATATTTGCATTTACAGTTGCTCAAGAAATTATAGAGCACGGTGATATCAAACCACGCTCTTTGGCAGAATGCCAACAAAGAGCTAATTGGCCTAAATGGAAAGAAGCAATCCAGATTGAATTAGATTCCCTGACAAAAAGGCAGGTATTTGGTCCGGTAGTGCTAACCCCACCAAGTGTAAAGCTTGTAGGACATAAATGGGTATTTGTCAGAAAGCGTAATGAGAAGAATGAAGTCTTAAGGTACAAGGCTCGCCTAGTGGCGCAAGGTTTCTCACAACGCCCTGGGATTGACTACGAGGAGACCTACTCTCCCGTAATGGACGTTATCACGTTCCGATACCTAGTCAGCTTAGCAGTTTCTGAAGGATTGGAAATGCAATTGATGGATGTGGTTACTGCATATCTCTATGGGGATCTTGATTCAGAGATATATATGAAAGTACCCGACGGACTTTCACTACCTAAATCAAGTGACTCTAAACCACAGAGTGCGTTTGCAATAAAATTGAAACGCTCACTTTACGGATTAAAGCAATCCGGGCGGATGTGGTATACCCGCCTAAGTGACTACTTGATTAGGAAGGGATACAAGAACAATGAGCTTTGCCCCTGCGTATTCATAAAGAAAACGAGTTCCGGATTTGCAATCATAGCAGTATATGTCGACGACATGAACATAATTGGCACTCTTGACGAAATAAGAGAAACCGCAAGCTATTTGAAATCCGAGTTTGAGATGAAAGACCTTGGGAAAACTCGATTTTGTCTAGGTCTTGAATTAGAAAATCGAGTTTGTGGAGTATTAATCCACCAGTCTGCGTATATCCAAAAGGTACTCAGGCGATTTAACATGGATAAAGCGCACCCTGCTAGCACTTCCATGGTGGGCCGAAGTCTAGATCCTAAAAATGATCCATTTCGTCCAAAGGAAGATGACGAGGAGACATTAGGAGCTGAAATTCCATACCTAAGTGCAATAGGCGCATTATTGTACTTAGCACAATGCACTCGACCCGATATAGCATTCTCAGTGAACTTGTTAGCTAGATTTAGCTCTGCGCCTACGCAGCGTCACTGGAACGGTATCAAGAATATCTTTAGATATCTTAAAGGGACCAGTGACTTGGGACTATTCTTTCCCTACAGAGAGACGAAGAAAACCACAAATGAAGTTGTGGTCGCAAAGGACAAAATGGTCACCCCCCTGAAAACCCCAAATGATGTCTTGGTAGGTTTTGCTGATGCTGGGTACCTCTCCGACCCTCACAAAGGCCGTTCCCAAACTGGCTATGTTTTCACAATCGGGAACACGACGATATCCTGGAGATCAACTAAGCAAACCCTTGTGGCTACCTCCTCGAACCACTCAGAGATCATTGCTCTACACGAGGCGGTCCGTGAGTGTATATGGTTAAGAGCTATCATTGCACACATTCGAGGAACTAGTGGCTTAAAGCCTACCACTGAAGAGCCAACCTGCATCTACGAGGATAATGCAACCTGTATCGAACAAATGAAATTAGGATACATCAAGGGTGACAATACAAAACACATATCTCCTAAGTTCTTCTACAATCAGCAACAACAGGTCTTCCTCAAGATCCAAGTAAATCAAATAAGTTCGGAAGAAAACATAGCAGACTTGTTTACCAAGTCATTGCCCAAGGCCACATTCGAAAAACATGTGAAAAACATTGGAATGTGTAAGCTTTCTGAAATCCCTTGATTAATGTAAATATCAAGGGGAGGTGTAGACTTCAGGGGGAGTCTTACACCCTCACGTTATACTCTTTTCCTTAAACCAAGCTTTATTTTCTCCCATTGGGTTTTTGTTACTTGGTAAGGTTTTTAACGAGGTAACTGTGAGTAACGATCAAGGTAAAGAATCCAAAAGGACTCAATGAACGAAGTCCAATAAACTCTAGTTTCTCGTCAAGGTTTATTTTTCCCACAGGGTTTTTGTTACTTGACGAAGTTCCTACACGACAACTAGCTTGGTGTGCATCATGCTATCTACAACTCAGCACAAGGGGGAGTGTTGAAGGAAATTACTTTAATGTGCATTCGTTATAGATAGAAAGTGTACCTAGGGATTATATGTATTGAGCTAATTGGCCCATTGGCCCACTCCTTGTAAAACCCTAATCCCTGCTATTTAAAGGGGGCTTACTAATGGAATGAACACACCTCTCTCACTTCCCTACAACAGTTATCTAATATTATCTAAACATTTAGTCGAACACCATATATAAGAACATGATTTTCAATGGACTCCTAAATAGATTAAAAAGAGCTTTACATCATCAATCTTAAGGTAGATTAGATTTCATCTTCTTAAAGTTTTGGTTTTCTCCTTATCAGCACTTCTGTTTTTGTAAATGAAAACCATGAAAAAGAATAGGAAAGGAAAAAGTAAAGTTTAAAGAATGACATGGGTGAGATTTGCATAGATCTATTGTTCCGTATATACCTATAGAAACTTTAACTTGAGTTGTGGTTCCTGAACACCTATAGTAATACAAAATCATTAATTACTTCTTAAAGTTAGAATTTGAGGTTTTGGGAACAAAAAAGTTAGAGCAGAAAATATGAACAGAGCAAGCTTCTCTAATACGGAGTAGAATCTAAAGAAGAAGATCCATTATAGCTTAGCCAACTGCTTAGAAGAATACAAACAAAATAGCATGACTATCAAACTTCACATGAATCGAGGTATTATTTCTTAAAGTAAGAGCAATATTTTGTGGTAGCAAGTACTAAGGAGCAAATAAGTCATACACTTAGGGCTGGACTCGGGCCGGTTCGGGCCCGGTTCGGGCCTGGGCCCGGCCGGGCCTCGGGCCAGGAAAGGGGAGGCCCGAGCCCGAACCGCCGGTGGCCGGTTCCGGGCCAAACCGGGCCGGGCCGAACCGGCCCAATTAATTTTTTTTTTGTTCTCCTATTTAATCCCCTACCCCTCCCCCTCAACCCCAAACCATCCCAAACCACCTCAAATGGCCCAAAATACCTAATCCAACCTAAAACTTAAAAAAATTTCAAAAAAAAAAAAATTTAAAATCCGGCCCGGACCGGGCCGGTTCACCAAAACCTGGGCCCGAGCCCGAACCGCCCAGCAGCCGGGCCGGGCCGAACCGAACCGGTGGACCCACCGGGCCCCAGGCCGGGCCGGGCCAAACAGTAACCGGGCCGGGCCGGTTCTGGGCCGGGCCGCCCGGCCCGAGTCCAGCACTACATACACTCATTCATCCTGAAAAATATTATACACCAGTACTGCAGTACATCACTTAGATGCTAACTTCAAACCAAAAATAGAAGAGAAGTAAAAATAAATTGGAATATATGAAAGTTTACTATCCAAATAGAAGAAAAGAGGCATTGCCTTTACGAAGCTATTTTTTGTAGTCCTCCTAAATAGTCATTTGATGTACTTTATTGTCCATTACGCTATGGTAGCACATCGATCAATAACATAATACTATTTCACTATGCAAAATAACACTAATATAGCACCACTCAAGTATGTGTTTCTGAAAGTAAAAAGAGAAGAAATGAATGAAAATAGCTGCTAAGGAGCATTATGGCAGCCACCTTAAGATTAGATTTCATCTTCTTACCATTTTGATTTTCTTCTTATCAAGTTTGTAATGAAATTTGATATTTTAATTATTTACGGTTGTTTCTTAACATGGAGTTAATCTAGCTAATAAAACCCTCTTCTATAATAAATTCTATTTTTTTGGGAGGAAACTTTTACAACATAGATGCAAACATATGTCTTATATAACTTATAACTTAAGAACATATAATTTATGGAGATAGGCATTAGACCTCTAACTATTGCAGATTTATAGCTATAATGATGTGTTTCAATTATTGTGTAAATATTTATCCGAGCATCATATACAAGAATATAGAATTGAAGAAGAAAAACTACATTATAGTTATGAGTACTTAATTTTATTGTTTCTTAACATGGATTTAGCATAGCTAATAAAACCCTCTCCTTTATTAAAGTTGTGTTTGTTTTGGAAGGACAATTTAACATCGTATATGCAAAATATATGTCTAATCTAACTTATAACATAGAAAACAGAACAATAGAAAACCAAGATCTTATTTATAACTAAAAGATCTTAGTTATATGCAAAATAAGCCATGTGAGACTACACACAGAACACAAAAGTGGAAAACTCACACTCCCATTATTAGTTATTATGTAAAATTGTAGTTCTAAAATAAGAGAAATCAAACCCTCTCTGCATGTACAGGCAAATAGTATGTATAAAGGAAAATTCTGCATTTTTTCTAAGAACAGAAACCAAATTTTGTGTTAGAAGATGTTAATGGAAATAATGTAATGAGAACCGTATAAAGGAAAGTTCTGCATTTTTCTTCTCTTGCATTTACTATGTTCTGATTTTTAAGTTTTAGATTAAAGTTATGGCAGCTGAATTTTTAGTTTTGATTAAATGTAATGAGACTTTCGTGTTAGATGTTAATGGAATTAATTGAATTTTGAACTGTTTTATTATTATGTTTTTAGCTATATTTGTTATCATTTCCTTCAAGTCTACAAGCACACTAAGAAAATATATATACAAAGTTACATTGATGGTATAACATATACAGTGAAAACTGAAAAAGTCACTCTATATGTTCCTTTAGCTCACATATGTAAACATGTAACCAAACAACATATGTGCGTAATATAATCAATAATGTATAATCTCGAATTGTTGTGGCTACGGAGTTGAGAGCTGAACTCTCCTGGGAGCGATCTGCGACCCAGTTCTCCTTCCACGTTTAGAGCATCGATGAATACTTAGGATCGACAGATGATGTCTTTTTTCTGATTCAAAGTAGTTTAACACTTCTTAAACCTAAATACGTCCTTGGATTTCTGTTTGGAAGACAGATTTGCGTTCGACAAAACAATACCCAAGTTGCGAAATTACTGTTCATGGCTACCTGAGCCTGAAATCCGACGCCCCTGTTCTCAGACCTTCCACTGAGTGTCGCCGATAGAACTGTTCATCCGAGCCTGACCGCAGCTGAACTGTTACCTGCGACTGAGGGTCTGCGATAGAACCCGCAAACCAGCTCACCGAAAATGACTATTAGCGATTTTGGAGTCGGTTTGCTTTGATTATTCTCCGTCCTTTGGGGTTTTGTTGTGTTTGGTTTGGGCGTCTAAGACCTGTGAACTGAGTCTGCTCAGCTCGCAATTTCAGTTGGGACGAAGGCTGCCTAACACCTGTGACGAACACACCTACTGCGCCAGTTTACTGGCCTTGGCAGTAACCAGGTTTGCTGCGTTTTTTGTCATTTGAAGTGCTGCTGCAAGTACTTGTGATGGGAAAATCGAAGCAGGCCGTTGGGGACTCCTCCAATACGAGATTTACCAGGTCCAAATATGCAGCTTTACAGGATTTGGAAGAAGACTTCCCATCTCTTAACTCTGGAAACAATGTTAAAAAGGCAGTGGTTGTTCCAAACAAAACTAGCCAGACTGAGAGTGAAAAACAACCGACCTTGGATGTGATGGGGGCTGTCTCTGAAGCATTAGACCAGACTCCTGGAGGAAAAAAGAATGCTGGGACCTGTGATACAATTGATATCCCAATTCCTGGGAATATAGGGACTGATGCAATCAAGAATGCAGGACAGAACAAGGCTGCTGGTCAGGTTAGAACTCTGGCAGAAAACAAAGCTCCATGGTCAAACCTGTTTAAGGATAACCGAGATCCGGCACATGGCATCAAATTGAGATATGTTCCTCCTAAAGGAGAAACTTTGGACTTTGGGGATCGGGTATTACCTTCCATGGTTGATATGTGGGGCTATTGCCTAGTTGGGCACTTCACCGGCAAATTTCCCGGACTAAAAGCGGTGCATGATCTTAAAGCTACGTGGGGTGTAAGATGTCTTGTGAGGTCCCATAACAAGGGATGGGTAATCTTTAAATTTGGAAATGAGGAGGATAGACTGAAGGTACTACATGACGGACCTTACAATGTTTTTGGGAAACTTCTTATGCTCAAAGTACTTTCGGAAGACTTCTCGTTTGAAGATGAGGAATTTCTTAAAGTACCAATTTGGGTGAAGTTCCCCAAACTACCTATGAAGCTATGGAACGACGAAGCTATGAGTGAAGTGGCATCTATGGTTGGGGTTCCATTTACTACGGACAAGATTACTCAAGAGAGGTCAAATAATGAATATGCTAGAGTACTCATTGAAGTTGATGTTTCAAAGCCACCGCCACTTTCTTTTCATATACGGCTACCTTCCCAAAAGGTAATCAAACAAAGTGTGCTTTATGAAACTTTTCCTAACTTTTGTTTTCAGTGCAAGGAATTTGGGCACCACCCATTTATTTGTAAGAAGCTTGCCAAACGGGATGATGGAGAAAGAGAGAAAGAACAGAGCATGGGGAAAAATGAAAAATTAGGGAATGAGCAAACTGGGCCGGCTACTGCTCATGAAAAAACTGCAGTAATTCATGCCCTGACTGATGCATCAGCTGCCTCCGGTGCCCAAGGATCTGCCGCAACTAAGGGAGCTGAGGGACCTGCCAAGGGAGCTCCTAAGAGACCTGCCAAGGGAGTTGAGCAACCTGCCAAATCTGCTGTGGTTGTGCGACCTGCTGCCACGCTTGAGTTACCTGCCAAATCTGCCGCGGTTGTGCGACCTGCTGCCACACTTCAACAACCTGCCCAGGGGACTGCCACTGCCGCGGTTCTTGCTACTACGCCTGCTGGACAGCCTACAAAACAAGCTAGTAAAACCTCTGAAGCCGTGTTGGAAGATGCCGTGAGGGTTGTGATTGATGAAAGTGAAGTAAGACAAAATGATGTTGTCACTAAATGTGAGGTGATAAACGGTAAGACGCTTAAGCTAAGTGTCAAACCGTTTAGATCCGTGCATGATAGTGTAATTAGAGTGGATACTTCTCTCCGACTTACGGATGATTTGGATAAAAAGGGCTTAACATTCACGGCCAAATGTCTTGAAGGTTTGCCAGGAGTTACGAGGAAAAAAGGGGAAGTTTGCTTTGACTCAAAGTTCACTACTCCTTTCAGATTGTTTTTTGGGTTTAAATAGGGGATCTTAGTGTTTTTGGTGGTGTAGCTTACTTAAGCTATTATTGATCTTTGTGTTCAATATTTTGACTTGTGAGGGGTAATTTGGATTTTGTGGTATCCTATGTATTTGGGATATGCACTATTTGATGCATTATATCTAGGTTAGATTTTTCTAGCTTAGATAGTCATTTTGATTTGGATTTGATGCATTGTAAAATGCTATTTTTTTCGGTTTCTAATATACTTACATATTATCGAAAAAAAAAAATATAATCAATGCTGGATTAAAGCTCTATTCAAAGAAAATCGAGATTACCTCTGCTACTTGGGCACCCAAGGATTTGTCATTTGTGCTTGCAAAGTTGGGTTGATGTGGTTGAAAACTACACCCAGACAAAAATAGACATAAAACTTAAAGCCAAGCCAATAAACTTTAAAAGCTTAGTTTATTTTGAAAAAAAACATGCATATGGAATCTTAGTTTATTTCTACAAAAACAAAATATACTCTGTTATTTCCATGAAAAGTGAATCTATTCTATCGTATATATTGAAGCCCAATAAGATCTTTTAGGCCCCTTCCCCACTCTTATAGTTAGACCCTCTTCTTTTCAATGCTTTCTTATTCTTCTCCCCTAGGACTATGCAAAATCTCACCCATTCCCTGTATCTCATTTTGTTAACTGCTTTTTTTTTTCAATCACCTAATTTATATAGTTCAACAAGTTTAGGCACTTCTTTAAGCAAATGTTCCCTATTATTATTATTTCACGATATTAGTTAGTTTGTTTTTAACTTAATTGTTGGAACAATGCAAGAAAAAAAATAAAACAGGTTGACCAAAACAGAAGAAAAAAGATGCATTTGAAGGAATGAAAAACAGATTTACTTTTGATTTTAAAATCAGTCTCTTCTTATACATACAATGTATTCTTCTTGTTATGTACTACCTCCGTCCCATTTTATGTGTCTTAGTTTGACTTGGCACGATTATTAATGAAGTGGTTGAAAAAGTAAAAGTTGTGGTTCAGATTTGAGTATAATAAAGTGAAATGGTGTAGACCACATATTTCATTCCAAAAGGGGAAAAGAGACACTTATTTTGACTACCCAAAAAGGAAAGTAGGACATGTAAAATGGGACGGAGAGAGTATTAATTATAGTTCAACAAGTTTAGGCACTTCTTTAAGCAAATGTTCCTTAAGCAAATTTTGAAAGGCATCTCGATTTTGAGACAAACTTAAATGTTAATTAATATAATATTTTTTTCTTATATATTACTAAAAAAAGAACAAATGGCTAAAAAACGGGAAACGCAAACACGTAGACTTTAAGAAGGATAAAAATGACTTTAAAGGAGCTATCTCCTTTCTTATACAACAAGTGTATAAATAGAATATATAATCTGTATCAAGTGACACCAGGGGTGGGTACATCGGCTTGGTTTAACCGAACCGAACTAAATCGAATCAAAATCGGACCTTACGCAATTTGATTTGAATTTGGTATAATTTCTTCTAAACCATATTAAACTGAACTGAAACAGATAAAAATCGAACAAAATCGAACCAAATTAAAGAAATTCAAAAAAACTTCCTATATTATTAAAGAACCGCAAATCCAAACCGAATCAAACTGAACTAATCTGAATCGAATCAAACTAAAGGAGTGATTGAGTTTACTTAAAAAAAGCACTTTTTAGCTTTTGACTAAAAAAAAAGTTGAAAAGAGTGTTTTCAAATGACAGCTTCTGCTTAAATTAATCACTTAAAAGTTAAAAGCTGGAAGCAGGTAGAAGGGTGCTTTAAACCGCTTCTCACTTTTTCTATTACACAAAAAGTACTTATTTTACCAAACACTACCAACTTTTACTTTTTCAGAATCACTTTTTTCTCAAACACTACCAACTTTTACTATTAATCATTTTTCCCAAAATCATTTTAAAAAATCACTTTTTTAAAGTTGAAGCAAATGCAAACAATCCCTAAAAATAAAAATTGTATAGGGTTCGTTTGATAACAATTCTTCCGGCCCTTTCCAAACGGACCAAACTCAATCCAAAACAATATGCCCATCTGTGGACTGTGGAGTGGAGACATAACTCAGACACCGTTAGTTCCAGAGTGAAGACTGAAGAAGACGAGCTGAATTAGGGTTAGGTTTCAGACGCTATCCACCCCAACGATGTCTTCCGCCCTTGAAATAGAAGCTCGAGAGTACTATTCTCTTACTCATCGTTGTTTATGTTTTAATAATTATGTCTAAATGTAAATGCATATGCATCATGTCGAGCTTACGCTTTAGAACGATGCACCAAAGCTACATTGTTTTCCTTTCCGAAAAGATTTAGCCTTTCTTAACCCTCAAGAACCATAAAGAGCCAAATGCATTTTTTGTACCAAACTACTGGGTTTTTCTTTGAACTTTGAAAGTATTTGAAACTTCTTCTGAAATTTTGGATTTGAAAGGACTCATACATGAAATCTTTCTCTATTTTTTGATTCTTTTGTGAGCAAATTAAGCCAATAATAATTTTGAATATGAAATTTTTACATGACTACTGTTTGTCAAAGGCATAGAAGTTCAAATAACTAAATGTGTAAGCATCAAGCGGGCAATATTGTGCACAGTAAAATGTGATATTTGACAAGTTGGTTTTGCCGATCTGTTCTGATAAAAGCATCCACTCATTTTCATACGTTTCCTAGTTCATCTGTAAATTCTGTTAGAGGGGAAGAGAACGAGGGAGTTTTTAGAAGCTCATACAAACGATTAATAAAGACACAGACGTGCAAAGTGAATGAATAAAAAAGAACTTATGATATAGGAAAAACCCGTTTCTGTTGATCATTCTTCAGAATCCATGTACAGCTGATTTCTCATCGGACTCTTTTAACGAAGATTTATGGTCATTCCACCCTTTAGAGTACTTCTGCAATCATTTTCTCTTTACAGTATCTTTTAAAGGATCCCGTTCTTTTCTTCTGTTTAGCTGGTATAATACTATAAGTTTATAATGTGGCACTCTTTGCTTGTAAAACAGTATAAGTGTATAAGATTATGCTATTATAGTCTGTTATGAAGAATAAAGATATACATTCCTGTATGTCATTTTTTGTGCAGTGTTATTAAGATCGTTCTTCAGTTCTGCAAAGAAAACTCTTTACATCAAACTTTCCAAACTTTACAAAATGAGTGCCAAGTTTCTCTCAACACAGTGGATAGTCTAGAAACTTTTATTGCTGATATTAATGGTGGGAGATGGGATGCAGTATTGCCTCAAGTCTCACAGCTGAAGCTTCCCAGAAAGATACTGGAAGATTTGTATGAACTGGTATGCAATCTGTGGCCGTGAAAAAAACTGTAAATTCATATCATCGTGTTTTTAACTTCTTTTCCTACAGCCTCTGTCTATTTTATTTAATTATTCAATAGTATTGATTTGATAATAATGGTGTGGAGTATGCTCGTTATTTTAGCTGGTCATCACATAAATAGTTATTATACTTTTTTTTCCTACAATTTGTCAACTTTTTTTGTACTAGTTTCGTTTCATTCTGGATTCATTTATTGTTTGGATAAACCAGAAATACTAAAAATGATATAAACTATACATAAGAAGAGGATTAGGTAATACAGAAACCAACTAAGTTCCATAATATAGTCAAGTCTTGGAAAAACTAATCTTGACATGGACACACTGTTGATGGTGTCCTTACGCACTTCAGCGATGTATCGAGCAAATCATCATTACTATCACATATAGCTAGTGTGATTACTACATCATCCTGCTATCCAGCCGAGGTCCTGTCGTGGCACACCCATATCGCTATCCATACTTTCAGAGATGTAGTTGAGCTGTAGTGTCAGGAGATGTTAAGCCACATATCATTCAGCTGAGCCATTCCATGTTTTCCTCCCTTGTCCTCTTGGTTAAGAAAACTGATGAAACATGGCACTTTTGTAACGATTATATGAAGCTCAAACACCTAGACAGTGAAATATAAATAACCGATCCAGGTAATCACTGAATTGGTAGATGATCTTCATGGGGCGAAATTCTGTATGAAGCTTGACCCTCTCTTTGGACACCATCTTCACGTGGAGCCTTCACATGGTGACTGAGGATGTTGACATCTTTTCGTACAAATAAAGTACAGTTTGAGTTTATTGTTATGCTATTCGACCTTTTAAATGCCATGTCAACCTTTCAAAGCTTTATGAAGAGAGAAGCGTGAAATCAGAGACTGCAGTTGTTTACGGAACTTTTATCATGGACCAAAAAAGCCACACAACAACCTTTTGGGGCTTCGTTGTCGTTGGCAGAGATCCATACTCTCTTGTCCTATATGAGCTTCACATATAAGCTTCGCATCCAATGCCCCCCCCCCCCCCCCCCCCCCAGAAAAGCCATATGGCCGTATCGGTAGAAGTTGTTAATCTTCTTCGATGGCATTATGATTTAGACCTTGACCTGGGACAACCATATACACCACATCACCACGTCAGTCTCGTCTTCAGAGTTCTGTGGTCCTATGCCAGCCGCGTCTTCAAATTCATATAAATACCTTTCTTTGCAGCAAATATGAAAAACTGAGGACGATACAGCCATATGAATTTGCAAATGGAAGACGCCATATCTTGATTTGGACAAATAAGAGTGTATACTAGTCACTAGAGGAACACCGATGGGTTGCCATGCACCAGATTTGGAGAAGAGAAGCATTAATCCTCATCTTCTTAGTCCTACATAGGCCCTGTTTGCAAACACAACTAAAAAAGCACTTCCCAGCTTTTGACTTAAAAAAGTTAAAAAAGATGTTTTTAAATGACAACTTCTACTTAAATGAATTACTTAAAAGCTAAAAGCTAGAATCTACTTTTTACTTTTTCTATTACACAAAAAACACTTATTTTACCAAACATCACCAACTTTTACTTTTCAAAATCACTTTTTTCTCAAACACTACCAACTTTTACTATTAATCACTTTTTTACCAAATCATTTAAAAAAGTTAAAAGCACTTCCCAGTTGGGTTTGCAAACAGAACCATAGTCCACCATCATTGTCTATGGGGCTGTTTACTTTTTTCCCATTAAGTCCTGTATGGATTAAGATGATCCGTCAGTCCGTCTGTATTAAGATGTTGTCTAGATTAAGTGATACTCGAATAACAAACCGTTTACTTTGTGTTCTGAATGAGAAGGCTGAATTATTTAAAATAACCAATATACCCTTGTGTTTGAAACCTCTTCTTCATTAATCAATGGAACCAATT